GCGGAGAGAGAACACATGCGTAGGAGGAAGAAAAATATAAGCACTCAGGATGCTTTAACGCTTATGGAGATAAACAGCATCCGCATCAGTGAGCTCACAAATACTTCAGCTGTGTTCGCAGTGGTTTACATGGCTGCCGTTTTGGACTTGGACTTGTTCCTTGGGTGTTGTGAGTTGTTCAGAAATACATACTGTTGCTGACATTGTCCGAAAGGTGAAACTTCTGAAATCAAGAAATCCGTAGCTACTTTTTTATATCATTATCATCATCATGATCATCATCATTTAAAAGTAATTCCTAATGGGTTTGTAATAGAGCTAGAGCTCTCAGTCTCATTTAACGCTCATCTGGCTGACTGATAGCCAGCATATGTGCAAGTCTAGTTATAGCGCGCTGAGCTGTGGAGGAACTTATTTACATGCGCTGAGTGGACCACACTGTTGAAAGGCTAATTATTAGTGCACAGCACTTTACCGCATCATATTCAGTAAATGTAGGCCCATCCAGTCTTATACAAGGTCGTCTTGCATCTTACTAATTCAAACTCCCACACAAGCACACGTGTACAAAACGGCCCAATGCACAAACATGCATGCTGATGGAAAGATGCGCGCCTGTGCACACATGCATAAAAGCTCTAGTCCCAGCAGACACTTTGAATAATAACTTTGACGCATGCTAATTAGGAAACCCTATTATGTGCTCATGAACATGTGTAGTTTTATTATAAGCTGTACATTCCACACACGCATGCATGGTCATAGAACGTATGCAGTGTAATCTTTACACACAGCACACTCTGAGGCATTTTAACTAGTTGATCCGCTGTGTTCAAGGCCAACTCCTCCAGACCAATAACAATGATTTCTTTAGCACACCCACATTTTCACACAATCCACATATACTCAGCTGATGTTCAGTCATCACATCCAAACATCCGAATAATATATACCGCAAAATGTTGATCGTACTGAAGAAATATGCAAATGCACTAAACTGTATGTGCAGAACATGCGTGTTTGTGTATGTACGAATTTACAATAGTTATGTGTTTGAGAAACAATTTTTATTGATACTGTAAATTATTGGTGGCATTTCTTTCTAATCTAAATAAATATTGAATATTTTGTCAATTTGAGGTTGAGCCTTTTGAATTGTTTTATAAAATTATATATAATTTTATAATATATATAGTTCTTAACATAATTAAAATTTTAACATAACACATTTCTTAACATAATTTTAATAACTCATTTCAGATAACTGATTCCTTTTATCTTTGTCATGATGATAGTAAATAATATTTGACTAGATATTTTTCAAGAGACTTCTATACAGCTTAAAGTGACATTTAAAGGATTAACTAGGTTACTGAGGTTAACTAGGCAGGTTAGGGTGATTAGGCAAGTTAGTCTACAGAACAAACCATTGTTATACAATATCAAAAAATATATAGCTTAAAGGGGCTAATAATTGACTTTAAATGGTTTTTAAAAAAATAAAAACTGCTTTCATTCTAACTGAAATAAAACAAATAAGACTTTCTCAAGAAGAAATAATATTATCAGATATACTGTGAAAATTTCCTTGCTCTGTTAAATATAATTTGGTGAATATTTAAAAGAGAAAAAAAATTCAAAGGGGGGAAATTCTGACTTCAACTGTACATGAATATAAACATGTTTGATTATTTATTTATTTTATTATTTATATAATAAAAATTATATATAATAAACATGTTTATATTCACTTTTTTTACAGATTAATTAAGAAATCCATCTTTGGTTGAATAAACCTGATTTTCAATCACAACAAATAAAAACATTTTGACCAGTTCCCAAAAATAAAAGCTTCAAATGACAACATTTTTAAATAATATTTAAAATGGGAAGGAAAAAAAAATCAGACTTTTTTTATATAATTAAACAAATATTAACTTTTGTATCAAACTCAAACATAGACAATCAAGGAAAACTGAAAATTGTATGTATGTATACATGTACGTTCAGGGGTAGATTTTATTATTTGGGAGCCCTAAACAATTCCAGCCAAAAGTTCTAAAATGCACATTTTTTCCTATGTTTATTTTAATGGTTTTTTATTTCACTCAATCACTCCTTTTCTACATTTGTCTTGATGCAATATAATAAAAACAACATGTAGAGCATCTTGTAAAACTTTTTTTTTAATTATTTGTTTTCTTAAAATGAATTCACAACTAAAAATTATTTATAAAATATTTAGTTTTTTAAACTTAATCTTAATAATTGAGGGTGGGGAATACATTTGCGCAGATGTAATAAACATTAAACTTTTTTTTTAAAGACACTCTTCATACAAAATATGATAGAACATGATGTTTTATATAGTTTATAGGTATACTTTATACTTCTAGGTATTTATCTGGGGCCCTCAGATTTATTGGGGCCCTAAGCGGACGCTTATCTTGCTTATTGGTTAATCAGCCCCTGTGTGCACTGAAAAAAAAAAAAGATTCAAATAGGATTCATGGATCCATGGATCTTCTAAATTCTTTTAAGTGGTTGTAAACAATTTAATTGGGCTGAATTTAAACAAACAAATTAAGTTGAAAATTACTAAATGAAATTTGTTTGTTTAAATTCAACACAAACTGTTTGAATAAATTATGTCTGCAAATTTTTGCAGTGTGTGTATGCATGTATGTATGTATAAAACAACAACTACACTATCTACAGTGCTGAGCATAATGGAGTACACCCCATTTTGAAAATTAATATTTTTTTATCAATTTCTCAGTGGATATATTTTGGTGCATTTAAACAAAACACATTTATTAACCAGATATATTTATTAAAATAATATTTAGTCACCAAACATATTTAGAAATTGAAAGATAATACAAATAAATAAAATAATAAAATATACAAATAAAATAAATAAAATGACAACCTACATAATTCAACAAGTTTTCAAATTTTTTGGTTCTCCCCCCCCCCCTCCCCCCCCCATTTTTTTAAAATTGGTATTTAATATTTTTCTATAACATATAAATTTGGGTGTAATTTGGGCTTCATACAGACTAATCTAATGCATATGCACAAATATAATATTGTATAGCTTCCTTTAAAAAATATGAATTTAAAAGATAGATCTGTGAGGGGTGTGCTTGTATATGCTGAGCACTGTAAATATATAGATAGTGAAGTTGTTGTTTTTCTTGTTAAATTCTTCTGTTCAATATATCGATACAAAATATGTACTGTATGAATTGTGCGGGCATCATTCATTACATTCATACATCCCTTTAAAAATGCATTTTTTAACACTGCCCTGTACGACACGGACCGCCTTTGCCTTTTTTGAGTGGTTGCGCTACATTTAAAGTCCCTCCACATTTGTGTACTCTATTCTATAGTGTTCTCTAGGTTAACAAACTCCTGCTAATTATCATTCTGAACAAGTTAAAGCCACACCTCTGTTGCGTGCAGAATATCGGATTATCATCAGGCTTTACAACCTCACATCTCACTATAACATTCATTGCTTCAACCCTAACGCAACAGAGATATTAAAATTCAGCGCAGACCCCCGACGCAATAAATTATGAATCATCCTCGTCTTTTCTCTGGTTATCTTACAGATCCAGGTGAAGTCTAAAGCACAGTTGCCACACCAGTGCTGAAGCCGATGAATGAAAGAATGCAAAAAAAAGGAGACTATATACAAATGAGTCTGTTGTTTAATGTTTTTGGCTATAAAGAATCTTACAGGTGTATTAATGGGGGATTGCTTTCCTGTAGATAACACCAGCGATTGTGTGTCTTAATCAAAGCCATAACAATTCAGGTTTAATTATTCACCTGAAACCTTTCAGTCAACAGCAGCAACAATTTCTTAAGTTATCAAAGTGAGAGTCTTTAAGCACTAGTAAACAGCAACACTCTTTTCAGGCTTCCTGAACAACTGCATGTAAATTAAATGTTTTTACAACAACAAATGCAAGATTTAGAGGTCCTACAAAACTTCCTAACATGTCTTTTTTAAAATATTGAGGTATTTCCTTGGTCAGTTTTTTTTATTTGTAGAATCAAACATACAGTTGAACTCTAAATTAATAGCCCAGCTGTTTATTTTTCCCCCAATTTCCGTTTAACAGAGAGAAGAGTTTTCAACACATTTCTAAAAAATAATAGTTTTAACAACTCCTTTCTAATAACTGATTTATTTTATCTTTGCCATGATGAAAATAAATAATACTTTACTAGATATTTTTCAAGACACTTCTATACAGCTTAAAGTGACATTTAAAGGCTTAACTAGGTTAATGAGGTTAGGTTAGGGTAATTAAGTTATTTTACACCAATGGTTTGTCTGTAGACTATTAAAAAAAATAGCTTAAAGGGGCTAATAATTTTGACTTTTAAAATTTAAAATGAATTTAAAATGAATAAAATTATTTATTCTAGCCTAAATAAAACAAAAGACTTCATTCAGAAGAAAAAATATTATCAGACATACTGTGAAAGTGTCCTTGCTCTGTTAAACACATTTGACAAATGTTAAAAAAAAATGGGGGTAAAAATTCTAACTTTAATTGTATATATGCCTGCAAATAACTAGGTTTTGATTTACTTTGAAATGCAAAGTGGTTCAATGACTCATGTTAATGGCATTAGTGTGAAGTAAAATCCATCACAGACATGCTCAGGATTTGTTTAGGACCATGCAAAGTTTACACGTGCCATCCTCATGTGAGGAAGTGTCCCTTTAAACCCCACATGTAAGTTTGAAACATTTGTTGTTTTGCCCACATTTCTATGCATCGCCGTATAATCATAAATAAATGATGTCAAGTCAGCCTTGATTATATGTAGCCCACCTCTGCACTTTTCCTCATGTACAGTATCATTTTTAAATAGTTCTATTTTTCTGCATTCAATCCGATTCCATCTCTTCAGTATTATAAAACGGCAGCAATGCTCATTTAAAATTCAGTGTGTACAAAAAAATGCATTACCTCTGGTAAATATTCCTTTTGTTGGCAATCTTGCATTTTTTTCCTCCTCTTTGTCGTATTTCAAACTGTTCCTTAACTCCGTTTGTGTGGGTCCACACGCGGGAAGCGGCTGACAACACTGCCCTCACTCATCAGAGAGCGAGCGACCGAGAGAGAGCAAGTGAGAGAGAGAGAAAGGGAGAGAGAGGGAGAAATAGTGCCGTTGCTGTAGTAGAAAACACACACGTCTGGCGTTCGGGATGCTGCCTCGCCTCAGGATGCTTCTGTCTCCTAGCAACAACAATCGATCTAGAGAGGATGCATTTTTTATTGGCCAAAGAGAGAAAACTCACCTTTAAACAATTAATACGAGTTGCACGCTCAAACGGATAAAGATCAGCTAGCTAGATAATGCATTTGGGAGGGTGGGAGGTATAGAGAGCGAGAGAGAAGGAGAGAGAGAGAGGGAGATCTTCAAACATTACCTTCAGGAGCACACGGTCAGGGTCTCAGGTGTGCTACGATTCTATCCCTTGTCACATCAGTCATAATGGGGTGTTAATGCACAGATCAACATTATGAGTTGCATATTTTTCAATTGCACATGGAAACGCAATGAAACCTTGATCTGTTATGAGTGTGAAATGAGCTCAGCCCACCGACAGCAGTGCGCAGTGAATGTTAGATATGCAGCCAGATCATTTTCATTCTGCATACAAACACATCTCCCAGAGTATTAATTATGCACAGTGAGACCATGGTCATTTCAATTGAAGGTAATTGTTTAGATAACCAATTTAACATCCACAATCTGTCATCCTTATTGTGCTTGGCTGTACTCATGTCTCATTACGCTGACCTTTATTGAAATGTCCGGGTATACTTGTAAACACTCGTGCTTTACAATGGTAGATGTGCTGTTAGATTCCTGTCCTTCAGTGCTAATCCATTCTGTGTCAGACGTGATGTCGACGCCAGGTCTGCTGGGTGTTATTAAAATGCAAGTATTTAAGCCTGTGGTTCCCCTCGAATGGGCTGCAATTGGACGGAGGAAAGGCGCATGCATGGTTGCACTTGTGTGTGTGCGGTGCTCTGCTTTGTCCACACACTTAACTGCATGAAATATACAAAATGTTCATTTTCGGGGGGTGGTCAGGGGGGTGGAAGGTAATAATTGATTCACTTTTAATTATTTAAAGCTTTTTTTTTAAGCCGGTGAAGTGTGGAGGGGATTTTAGAAATGTGTGTTTCATTTCTGTGTGTGTGTGTGTGTGTATTAAACTAGTTGGTATGCACAGTGTGATGTTTAACTAATGTTGCGATCCATTAATGCTCACCGATCACACACATTTACCAGCTAAATAGAGACAAATAATTCTGGATCAGACCACTGGATATGTACAAAACACACACACACACACACACACACACACACACACACACAATTAGCGATATTGCTAATTTAACAACATTTTAAAAATAAGAATGAATTGTTAGACTATATCAAAATAAATAATTGCATGTGCATGTACACTTACCGGCCACTTTATTAGGTACACCTGTCCAACTGCTCGTTAATGCAAATTTCTAATCAGCCAAACACATGGCAGCAACTTAATGCATTTAGGCATGTAGACACGGTCAAGACGATCTGCTGCAGTTCAAACCAAGCATCAGAATGGGGAAGAAAGATGATTTATATGACATTAAATGTGGCATGGTTGTTGGTGCCAGACAGGCTGGTCTGAGTATTTCAGAAACTGCTGGTCTACTGGTATTTTCACACACAACCGTCTCTATGGTTAACAGAGAATGGTCAGAAAAAGAGAAAATATCCAAATGCCTTGTTGATGATGTCAGGGGTCAGAGGAGAATGGCCAGACTGGTTCGAACTGATAAAAAGGCAACAGTAACTTAAATAGCCACTCGTTACAACCAAGGTAGAAGAGCATCTCTGAACGCACACCACGATCAACCTTGAGGCAGATGGGCTACAGCCATAGCAGACCACGCCAGGTGCCACTCCTATCACCTAAGAACTAGCAACTGAGGCTACAATTAGCACAGAATCCCCAAAATTGGACGATGAAACATTAGAAAAAAATTGCCTGGTCTGAGTCTTGATTTCTGCTGCAACATTTGTATGGTAGGGTCAGAATTTGGCATCAACAACTTGAAAGCATAGATCCATCCCGTCTTGTATCAACGATTCAGACTAGTGGTGATGCTATCATGTCAATATGGTGCAAAATCTCTGAGGAATATTTCTAGTATCTTGTTGAATCTGTGCCACAAAGGATTAAGGCAATTCTGAAGGCAAAAGAGGGTCCAATGCTGTACTAGAAAGGTGGACCTAATAAAGTGGCCAGTGAGTTTGTATGTATGTATGTATGTATGTATGTATGGATGGATAGATAGATAGATAGATAGATAGATAGATAGATAGATAGATAGATAGATAGATAGATAGATAGATAGATACATGTATATTTTATTAGAAATATCAATTATTTCATCATTTCCCACCCTTTTATATTGTAATTCTTTTAAGAATTGTTGAATGATATACTGTGATTTTTGTTTATTTTAAGTTTATCTATTTATATCAATATTTATAAATCATAGTGAGAAATTAACTATGTAAGTTATTTAGCATACGTTTCAAATTATCTACACATCTGCAGCTCAAGTAGAGCATGTCACTAACTTGCTAAGTTTGTGGGTTTGATTCCTAAAGAAAAAAGTAAATTTAACATATATAACATAAATATTATTTTAAGCATGTTTGTCTGTAATAATTAAATTAACCAATCAGTATATTTGGGTAGCATGGTGGCGCAGGGTGTAGCACAATTGACTCACAGCAAGAAGGTCACTAGTTCGAGCCTCGGCTGAGTCAAATGGCATTTCTGTGTAGAGTATGCATGTTCTGCCCGTGCTGGCGAGTGTTTCCTCTGGGTCCTCCGTTCTCTCCCACAGTCCAGTGACATGTGCTATAGGTGAATTGGGTAGGCTAAGTTGTTCATAGTGTATGTGTGAATGACTGTTTATGGATGTTTCACAGAGATGGGTTGCAGCTAGAAGGGCATTCGCTGCGTAAAACATATGCTGGAAAAGTTGGCTCTTTATTCCGCTGTAATGACGCCTGACAAATAAAGGGTCTAAGCCGAAAAAAAATGAATGAATGAATCCGTATATTTCTAAAGCTTTCCATTTTTAGCTTTATGCCTGTTTGATGCACTTGATTAGTGATGTTTCCTAGTGTGCATTCATGCATTATAATCATACATGATTAATACATAGCATTTTCATGTTATAAAAGTAGGTGGAGTCCAATCTTGAAACAAGGTTTATATCATTTTAATGGTGACCTCCAATAGAGTATTTTTTTAGATGAGTAATGTGCATCAAGGGGAAAGAGAATAGGCAGCATTTATTAATACCAGGTCGGGTCTGCCGCTAAACAAATGAGAGTTGAGAGGAATTATTTGAGCAGGGACCCTCTGGGGTTTGCTGTGAGACCCCCTCCATTTCCCTCTCTCTTTTCTATCCTTCATTCTCTGGTTCTGTCCTCTAAAAGTGACAGATAATCTAGCGGGCCGTTTACAGCTATACATATGAGATTTACAAATGTGCCAGTGTTATTGCATGGGGATGCGTGTTGTTGGGAATGAGTAGTGACTTCCAGATGGAAGACTTTTATGAGTCGCCTACCGATGTGAATTATGTAACCTCTTTGTCATTGCTTAATATCTCTATTGAGGCATGTAATCGACAATTTTATAAGTCCTCGTTGGGTGTTCCGAGGTGGAATATGTTGTTTTAATACAAATGGATATGTGGAGACATGCATAACGATCTATAAATAGGTCTCCGGGCAAAGCATTACTAATAACACAGTGCATATTACTGTGACTAATGAACATGTTTCATCTAAGACCTCATTACATTAAATGTGGAGTTTTTGTAGCTCATTAATTAAAGTCCATTAGCTTTGGGGTCTGTTTGCTGGTGGTCTCCTTGAAGTTGACAATTTTGAAAGTAGATAATATATGCTTTTAAACTGTATGTGTATTTGTGGCATGATGGCTCAATGGTAAGTACTGTCGCCTTACAGCAAGAAGGTTGCTGGTTTGAGTCCCAGCTGCTTCAGTTGGCATTACTGTTTGAAGTTTCCATGTTTTTCCCATGTTGGCGTGGATTTTCTTCGGGTGCTCCGGTTTCCCCAACAGTTCAAAGACATGCACTAAAGGTGAACTGAATAAACTTTCTTTCCTGTAGTGTGTGAATGAGTGTGTATGGATGTTTCCCAGTACAGGGTTGCAGCTGGAAGGGCATCCACTGTGTAAAACATGCTGGATAAGTTTGTGGTTCATTCCTCTGTGGCGACCCCTAATAAATAAAGGGACTAAGACAAAGGAAAATGAATGAATGAGTGTGGCATAGTGGCTTAGTGGTTAGCACTGTCATCTCACAGCAAAAAGCTTGCTGGTTCGAGTCCTGGCTGGGCCAGTTGGCATTTCTGAGTGGAAATGCATGTTCTCCCTGTGTTCGCATGGGTTTTAAAACATGCTGGAATAGCTGGCGATTCGTTCCACTGTGGCGTCCTCTGATAAATAAGGGACTAAGTCGACGGAAAATGAATATTTTAGGACCAGCTGTGGTCAATCATAAGCATGTGATCTTCTCAAAATTAGTTTATCAATAAACTTCACTTACTATTTTTCTTATTTGGTCAAAATTATCTAATTTTCTTAATACAAACATTATTTGCACTTCATTTTGCTTATGATGTAAACATAACATAGTGAGAGTTGAAAGGAAGTATCAGAACATCTAAAAAAAAATAAAAAATCCCAGCAATCACTTCCTAACAGGATTGCCCTTGACCTCTCCTTTCTTCATCTGAATAGGAGGGAGTGTTATGATCAGCCTGTCAATCAAAGCTGTTTCCCAGTGTAGTTTCTCAGAGCCCTGCTGCTGGTACCGCAGCTTTGATGGATGCCTCTAAAGCAACAGTCTCCTCTCCACACTGGGCCTCTGAAGAATAGAGGCTTTGTACGTTTGCATGCATGTATGCTGGACAGAACTGCTTTGTTTGGCCAAATGCCTCACACACAAACACACACACACACACACACACACACACACACACACACACACACACACACCCATACACAGTAAAGGCAGATCTTTTTGTGCCGAGTGCCTCTCCACATTGTCCAGATGA